CGTATTTTCGCTTTCGTTAGAGAAGCAAGTAGCCGATGGTCGATAAATTATTCGTTCGTTGTCGAGTGTCAAGAGTTGGTTTCGGGCTTGGAGTGATGACTGAGGACTGTGTTTGTTGCGGTGTATTGTTAATATTAGACTTTGATTCAAGGAGAGAGGAGGATATATATATGTGTGAGTGGATGTAAAAATGACGCATATTAGTAGAAGTCACACGCCATAGAAACATTTAGAAGGATTGAGGCGCTTATTTTAACTGCTTACAATATAAATAGTCGTATGCAATAGAAACATTTAGAATCATTTAGAATCATTTGGAAGGATTAGGGAGGTGTTTATATTTTGAATTAATTACGACAATAGAATTGGGGAGGAGCATAGTGACGGGAAGAATTAGGGGGGTACTGTTACATGTTATAGAAACATTTAGAAGGATTGGGAGGTGCTTATTAATAATATTCCATGGGAGGTGCTGATATTTTTGGATAGATTACAGTAATATAAATATAAATGGTCACAAGAATCAGGAGGTGCTTATTAATTATAAAACCGTCCGTATGCCATTGAAACATTTGGAAAGTGGGTATTGATTACAATAGACACGTTACATGATAATGATGTGATAGTGAGTTATGATGCAAATCACAGATCTGGTAAATATAAAGTAATAACCACCCTTAGATACACAAATGTTCAATGTTATATTATCTTCAGAAAACGACTTGTCATTAGTTTCCTTATTAGATAAATATACATGCTTATTGTTTTTTCTTTATATATATTCTTTTGCATTGTTAAGTGCGCTTTCCATATCCAACAATACCTACTTTTTCTTTTGAAAGCCCAGAGAAGTTTATTTCTAAGATTTATGCGGACCTGGCCACCCCTGAGTGAGACAGAACACTTACGCAGCAAATTCCGCGACAAAAATTATTGTCTATATTACATTTTCAACAAGTAATCTGCAATCTGATGCTAGAAATTTCTCGAAATGTTTCTTATCATAAATGGTGCGACCTACACCATACAAATCGACCTAAGGTCAACCTACAAAGCAAATTTTAATCTGATTGGATAATCAATGTTACACATATTTGTGTTCCACATATCAGAATAGCTATTAGCAGCCACAAAAAAATGAATTCGCAGCCACACACAGACAAATTCGCAGACATTTGCGGCTAAAAAATTTCCTTCTACTTTACGCAAGTAATTCAGCAAGTAGTGAAGTAATTCAGAAGTTAGCTAAGAAGCACCTTAAGATTTTTGAGCAAAATGTTCCCACAAAATATGCAATATGAGCAAACTGGAAAAAGAATGGCTCAACATTGTGATCTAGAGGGCCAGGACAACAAATTTATTAATGGGGTTAAGGCAGAGATCGGGTTTTTACTCGATGCATCTGGAGCATCTTCGTCTGCAATAGAAACCATGGCTGGTGCAGGCTTAACTGTAAGACGAATGACTATTGCAAGACAAAGCTCAGTACGCGGCAGTACATACAACGACAGTGGATAAGTTCATATCTGAGCATGTATGTACAGCATACGGATATCATAAGCGTTTTATGATTTATAATTAACAAACTAATATTTGTATTTATGTTTATTTAAAAGATTGAAAAATTGATTGTGCTCAATGTAGATGACTTCCACAATATCCATGAGTATCGGCGCAGTGACACAACTACTACGCATGATGTTTCTCATTTTATTACAATCCTCCTGAAAGCCTTGCCAGAAATACCATCCATTCCGTTTCACAACCCCAATCAAGAAAAGAGTATCCACAACGAAGAGGGTATTGATGCCAAGATTATTCTACAGAATGCTCACTCATCTTTCTTTCCGCATTTGTGGCTTAGTTATACAGGACGAAAGCAGGCATTTACTGATTTGACGTCTGTATCGGAAACACATAATGAGCGGGTTGAAAGACTTTTAATTTACAGCTATGATGACAGGATCGAACAACGTAAAACTGACCGAAGCATGCAGAATACGAAGTTGGTGGATCTGAAAGAAGGACCACTTCATTCCACTGATGATTACGTACAGGCTCTCAGGCACATGATGAACGTTCATGAAGTAAGAACCTATTTAGAAACGCAAGTATTAGTGGCACCTATGGATTATCCTGGGCAACGTAATGTGCGACGTGCCATTAACCATCGCATCAACGCTGGAGATCTTTCTGGAATACCGGAACAAATTCTGCATATCGTTCCAATGATTGGACCTTTGCGTGTATCCTTAAATAGTCGTGAAACTGTGTTTCTTGTAAATTATCAATTTTTGACAAGCTCTTTCATAACATGTTTGGACGTCAAAAGGTTTTGGCAAAAAGCCAAAGGCTTACAAGATTGATCTATTGTTAGAGTTAGCATCGCAAGGTTGGTCTCGAGTGCATACGGTAGTTAAACAGAAATTTGAACAGTCTAAAGATGCGGAAGCCAGATACCTTATCAATTTGTTGGATAACGTCATCCCGCTGGTTTTAGATTTTTATCCTGTCATATTCCGTAATGGAAATTGGACAGCATACAAGGAAGCGATGTTTCGCGTTTGGGCTATATTTTATCAATATAATCGTAAACATTATAATAAGTTACCATTGGCCTTTTTAAGTGATGTGTTATATTGGGCTAGTACTAATCATCCTATTTCACAGATTCTCTCCACGTATTTACTTTCACAGCTCACTTCGCCGACGGATACAAAAATCGAACACAGTGGAACAAATTATTCGTCAGGCACGAATAATTGATCAGATGCGTGGCAGCAATTTTTTCACAGATGTCTTTTCTGAGAACCATAATATTAGATACTCTGTGAAACAGCTTGAATATCTTGAAAAACGTGCTGCACTCTTTTTACTAAATCTCTTCACAGGTGTTTATCAGAATCTCAGTAGACCGAAAGTAATCTCATCTAACGTACATTCAAAATTCAAAGTTTGTGAACTACCAACGCTTGGTATAATTCGCATGAGGTAGGCTGTATTCTGTCTTGTGGACATGCTTATCATTACGAATGTTTTTGTTGCAATTAGAAAGCCAATGCCGATATTGTGCTGCATATCTCGTGAGAAAAACTGTAGAATTTTTCAGCAAACTGTGAGTCCATTCAATGAGATGCTTACAGATGAAAATACAGCTGAGTTGGCTGTGGAAGCTGATGAAAATACTGGCAATGAAGACTTTTTATTAGATGATAATATAGACTTACTTTTTGTAAGGGCTCTGAATACTCTAACCAATGTATAAAAATGCCTGTATAATTATTCTATCGTTATGTCAATGAAATTCGACCAATAATATTGCAGAATTTTTCTGACCAATCATAGAGAAAGTTCGCTTTGTATGGTCACCCTTTACTTTGTAAGTAACAACAATGTTTACTATCTATCATCATGAGACGTCTACTCATACATACATACATGCAGTTGCAAACAAAAAAAATGGCGAACAAATAAACTTGTCTATCTCAACAATTACCCAACGGAGACCATATGAAAGTGGTATAAAAATTTTAATACGAAATTCTATCCCATTTTTTGTAATTCCTGAATTTGGGTTCTCTTGGATACAATTCATTGCACACATTCTTTCTTTGCTCAAGTTTCTTATATTAGCCTTCTTTCCCTATTAACATAAAATAGTAATTATCTCAGATCAAGTACTCCAATCTCAGAGAATATGAATATGATATACATACGACGAGCGCTTCGTGATGCCGATGCATAATGGATCATTGCTTGACAACTGATCGACAGTTATATAGTATATTGCATAGTTTGAAAAAATGTGTTCATGTGATAGTGAATTTTTCTTCTAATGAATCAAAAGCGAGTTAATTGTGGAATAATTCAACATTCGCTGGTACAATGATACCGAATAATAACCTTGGTTTATCTTCAACAATTCTATGTTATTTGTATCCAAAATTTTTCAATTTACTTCTCTCGCAAAAAACCCCTATATTTTTAACGATAGTAATTCGTTTCTAATAAGACGCATCTAAAAATAGGAATGGGCTAATAATTCAGAAACAACTTTTTTTGGACCATCCTAATCAGCGTTATTGTCTTACTCGTACTAAATATAGTAGTTATATCAGACAATGGACATTGATTATGCATTAAAGACAATAATAAATAAATATAAAAACAGTCTAGCGATTGCAGTATATGTTGTTATATAAACTCATATGATCAATATTATTGGTTATCTTCGTATTGTAACATGATTGGTATCTCTAAATGCACATCTTCCCTAAAGTGCACGTTAGAAGCCCAGTCCCATCGGCTTACACTTAGCATTGGGAAGTTTCACTGTAGTTATTTTTCCCGACACTTCATAGTGGTACAGCTTATTCTGTAACCATGCATTAAATCATAATGCACAGATGGACTAATTTGGTTAGTATATACTGACGGAATTACCGTATTCTTCCGAATTTAAGCACCACTTTTAGGGGAAATCGGGACAAATTTCTTAAATTCGCCATATCCGCATCTTTTTTTTTACACAATGCCAAAAAATTCAACGCTCATCGTATTCTGAAAAGCTTAATGTAATGAATGCAATGGATGAGTCATAAGACAATTTATTGAAAAGGAGAAAATTGATGAAAATAAAAGGGAGATTGTAGATATAGATAGTGATTTAGCTGATATCAAGTTTTTCTGCCTAAAGTCCGGGTGATGCTTAAATTCGGGTAGTGCTTAAATTCGAAAGAATACAGTATTGACTATGATATAATTAAGATATTTTCAACTCAAGTAATATACAACGCATAGGTACTAATTTTGACTAACTTCACCGCACGACTATAGAAATAATCTTGTTCTTTGGCGCCAACAACAATAAGAAACAGATTTCTTCAATCCTATTAGGACATACAGGAAGCAATACACCATCTTCTTTAAGTGCGGCAACATCAGTCTTAAAACCCAACCGCCAATTCATATAAATACGAAAAACTTGGAAATGTCCAGATGCAGAGATAATCTTGAGTAATATTTAAAAAGGTGGATATGGGCAGGTCTGATAACAGCGCGTGGAAAGCCATCTACTATAATGGCATAACACCCTTGCCAGTTTCGAAAGAAAATTAATTACTACACCAAGCTCTTATCTACAGGAGAATTACCTAACCAAAAAATAGTTATGATATATTCAACCGCAGGTATGTGGTTACGAGTAATGTCAATCTACGGTATTAACCTCTTACGTTGTCTTAAAATTTAGTGAGTCAAAACAATTTCGACATGAATTAGTTACGAAATAAAAACTGGAGCAAGACATAAACTTTCACGCTGACATGTTCAGTACAAAAAAGCCGAAGCAAGCGAATCTGAAAAAGAGTTCGAAAAACCTACCGCACCTTAACTTGCACCTCTCACATCAACTAGTATCACCACCATTCCGGCAATTTTCAAAGGAAAGAATAATGTAAGCGATCAAAAAATTTGCTATATGTTTTGCGGACGGTTTATACAAGGACGTTCGTAACAGAAGTTGTGTACATTTATTGGTATATAGAATACTGGTCTATCAAATAACAGTTTGTGAGGTTTGTGTTAAAGTTAATTGGCAGAGGCCACACCACTTAAGCTGACAAACAGTTAGTGCAATTGTGAAGAATTATATCCGTTTTTATTTATTAGAACAAAATAACCATTTCGGATTCACTTGTTTATTATTTTCAAACCTATTTATTCCGCATTTAGTACTCCAATTATTCACAGTTTGCATTATTTAATACCCAAACTTCACCGTTGAACCTACTGAGTTGCCGATAAAAACTGACTTGCGCTTTATAATTTACGCGAGACATAGTGTTCTCTGAGACACGAAATTTGAGATCGGCCCGTATGTAGTCCTGCTATTCTATATAATACTGCTACCGCGACAACCTTATGCAATAAATTTAACTTTATCTTTTTACCACGTATATAAATTTATACCGTCTCTCGAAACTATGTGAAGTCGTTTCAAGGAATGTTGAACAGTATCCAAATGTATAACGAACAGTAGTAGTAATAATTATTAGATACATTAATTAAAAATTCAGAAATTAGTCATGCAATGAAAACGGAAGGTAACTAGTCTATGATCAAGTCTCTTATCGATTTGTAATTTAGTTTAAAGATAATACAAATAAATTTCATATCAAATGAGCAAAATGGCAAGTTTTGTTGCGCAGGGAGCGAGTTCGAAATTACTCTTAAAAATATTTTGAGAGGGTTGGATGTCGAACTCCGTCAACATAGTTTCACTGAGTATTTGTTGAATTATTATGTATCTGACGGTATGCTACTCGCTAGGTGTAATCGGGGAATCGAAAGCATTTCGTGGCCACAGATTATGCTGTAAATTTTCTTCTCTGTTACCGAAAAGTTGCTGCGCTTCGCCAGAATCTGTTGGTTATACACAGTAAAAGTCGATATAACGGACTAGTCGGGATCATAGTCTTTTCACGCTTTTGTCCGTTATGTCGAATTTTTATTTACTAGAAATTTAATATGAGAGTAAAAGATTAGAGGGGCTTTATCAAGATACGATAAAAAATCAACTATTTATCGCTATCCTAGTAGCTTGTTTCGAAAATAGAAGGACATTTTACAGATTACGCAAAGGATAGAGTGGGATTATCTGGAGTATAACAAATTGTTTAACAGATGAACAAAGCGTATGTTTAGATATGATCCAATTTATCGAGTCACTTCACTCAATAGCCCTAACAATATTATTTTCCTCTCATTTTACAATCTTGTTATAATTTTCTTTTCGTTTTACTTTATTCATATTCGTATTAATTTGGTCAAAGAATTAAAAAAGAAGATCTATTAAAGACTATAAATTTCGAATAAAAACTTACTCGTCAGAACCCATTTTCCTTATTAAAGTGTCGTTGATTCTTCCCGGATATACTAACGAATCGTATAATTTAAATGCTTCATTGTCTAAAGAAATTCTAAATTAGAAATCTCTTGTGTTTTCTGCGATCTAGTCTTATTGTTAATATCATAATAGTTTCCCATCATGCTACAAACATTGTAGAAGCTGGAATAATTTTTGATATTGATACGCGGTTGTTATTGACCTGAGTTATTGTGGTGGAATGACAAAAATCGAGTTTTTTTTACAACTAACAAGCTATCAAGATAGCGATAAGTTTTTTTTGTCATATCTTTTCGAATACGGTTACAGCACCCTAAAAGTAATTAAAAAATTTATTATTACGTTGAATGGTATAAAGAAGAGAGGAAAGAAAGACGGGGAATATTTACTTTACATTGCCCTATAATTGTATATTTTTTAGATTCGTCTCCAGGTTCATGCCTTATTAATAAAATAAATGAGTACGTGTATCATCATTATCAAGATATAGTCTCGCTATCAGGTGCCACTGCAATATATTACGTATCCTATTCACCACAGACAATCCCGCTGTAACCTTTCGGCAACGGAGAAAAACGTTTACAGCAAGCTTTCGCATACTGTGGCCACGAAGCGCTTTCAATTCTCCGACTTTACGCCTAGTGGCAGCGTAACTTCAGATACATAATAACTCAACAGATACTCAGTGAAAAAACTCACCTAAGAACAACAGAACTCAACTCCTTTCGCTCAAAAAATTTTTTGACAGTATTTTTGAATTCGCTTTCCCGTGCAACAAAACTTGTCACTTTGCTTATTGATACATAAATATTTTTTTTAAATAAAAGATTAAAAGAGACGACGAGTGCGAGAAATGAGAAAGGGTTACAGAGTCTCGGTACTTTTTGCACTCAAAAGTCTCGGTACTTTTTTGCACTCATATGAATTAGCGATAACATCATTTGCTTTTGTTAATAGAACAAAAGTTTCGAGTACTTTTTTGCACTCATATGACATTAGCGATGACATCATTTGCTTTTGTTAATAAAACAAAAGTCTCAGTACTTTTTTGCACTCATATGACATTAGTGATGACATCATTTGCTTTTGTTAATAGAACAAAAGTCTCAGTACTTTTTTGCACTCATATGACATTAGCGATGACATCATTTGCTTTTGTTAATAGAACAAAAATCTCGGTACTTTTTTGCACTCATATAACATTATCGATGACATCATTTGCTTTTGTTAATAAAACAAAAGTCTCGGTATTAGCGATGACATCATTTGCTTTTGTTAATAGAACAAAAGTCTCGGTATTAGCGATGACATCATTTGCTTTTGTTAATAGAACAAAAGTCTCAGTATTAGCGATGACATCATTTGCTTTTGTTAATAGAACAAAAGTCTCGGTACTTTTTTGCACTCACATGACATTAGTGATGACATCATTTGCTTAACAAAAGTCTCGGTACTTTTTTGCACTCATATGACATTAGTGATGACGTCATTTGCTTTTGTTAATAGAACAAAAGTCTCGGTACTTTTTTGCACTCATATGACATTAGCGATGACATTCGACTAATGAACGATATCGTTTTGCTGTCGCTCTTTTATCTCGAAAAGTACAATTATCTTTAAATCAGTACAAAATCGTCACAGCTTACATAGTAAATACGTACGATAGTGCTTTTTGCACGATATTGTGAAAGTGTCATCATGAATGTCATGTGACTGCATATGAGTGCCGAGACTCTTGGACTAGTTCTATTAGCCAAAAGCGCAATGATGCCATTATAAATGTCATGTGAGTGCAAAAAAGTACCGAGACTTTTGGAGTATTTAACTTTCCCCTTTCTCATTATCCATTTCTCGCTCTTGTCTGGCTCATTATCCATTTCTCGCTCTTGTCTGGCTCATTATCCATTTATCGCTCTTGTCTGGTTCATTATCCATTTATCGCTCTTGTCTGGCTCTTTATTCATTTTTCGCTCTTGTCTGTCTCTTTATTTCTCTATTAGTTCTGTTTACCATACATTTGAGGTAATAATATACACATGCATTATTCTATCGCTTTGATTTTTTATTTGAAAAAAAAAAAATTAATTTTTTTTATATCAAATAAGCGAAATGGCAAATTTAGCTGCACGGGGAAGCCAGTTCGAAAACATTGTCAAAAATATTTTGAGAAAGCAAGGAGTTGAGCTCCGTCGTCCTAGGTGAGTTTTTCACTGAGTATCTGCCGAGTTATTATGTATCTGAAGTTACGCTGCCACTAGGCGTAAAATGTCGGAGAATTGAAAGCGCACCGTGGCCACAGTATGTGAAAGCTTGCTGTGAACGTTCTTCTCCGTTGCCGAAAGGTTACAGCAGGACTGTCTGTGGCGAATAGGATACATGATATATTGCAGTGCCTGGCTAGATAATATATCTTGATAATGATGATACACGTACTCATTTATTTTATTAATAGGAATGAATCGGGAGACGGAGAATTTGATTTATTTGGAGGATTTAGAGAATATACAATTTTAGGACAATGTAAGGTAAATATTCCCGTCTTTCTTCTCTTCTTATACTAATACCATTCGACGTATTGATAAAATTTGTAATTACTTTTTAGGGCGGGACAGAGGTTACATCTGAAGATGTAACTGCGTTCGAAGAAACGCTATCAAGATTTGATAGAAGTAAAACTATCGCTATCTTGATAGCTCGTTACGACCACAGGGAATTGTTAGCTCAAAGCAATGCGGACGTTTTTACTCCAAACGCAAAAGCTAGAGCAAAATCATCCGAGTACAACATTATTCTAACGGATGAATTAAATGTGTACTCGGATTTAATTAAGTTTATTAAGTTAAATCCACCCTATTATAGCTCTAAGCATGCATTTTGCTTTCTGGTATATCGCATTGTAATTGTTATTCTTTTTACAATATTATTATTAATTTGCTTCAAATTGAATTTTGACCAAACTAAAAAAGATGTAACCAAGTACATTTATTAAAATATAAATTTCGAATAAATAATTTACTCGCAAAAAACTTATGATCAAAAGTACATTAGACTAAAACACAAATTAATTTAAAATATTTAAACCAGAGGGTCGGGTATAGCCTGTCCGCCGCTGGCCCGGGTAGGCGGAAAATGGGATTTTGTAGTATTAGTTGGTGGCAATAATTTTTTTGGCGTTAAATTTGAAACTTTTATCTTCCGTTTGTTGTTTTATACAAATTGTGACGTAATTGCAAAATTTGGAAGGTATCGGCTTTTTTTTGTGTTCTTCGTGTCACGTTTTTTCGATCGAGGTTTAGTTTGGTTTAATTTTTCTTGTCGGCTTCATGTCAGAATCGATGCTTATAAAGTATTGATGTTATTTCAGTTTACTATAACGAAATTTTAACAATAATACACTCACCTATCAAAATTATTTCCGGATCGGCAAAATTTACTATTAAAACATATGAAATTCGATACTTTTCAAAGCCTTTTTCCATCCACTTTTTTGTAGACAACTGTCAATAAAATTTATATCATTCGGAAGCCAATTGATTGTAGTTTATGAAAAAATGCATAATATTTTTATTCATATCCTAGTTACGAAATTACAGCGTAATGTGTTTCGCCCATCGATCGTTTCACGATTGTCGATCATATGATTTACGCCATTATTACATATTTGTTAATAACGTGTAGGATTCCCTTTAGCCTTTATCACCTCTTTTACTCTCCTTGGCATCGAATCTACAACTTCGCCAACACTTCACAATCTATTTTATACCATTCTTCTTTCAACACTGCAAAAAGTTCACTACGATTTCTGGGAACGTTTGCTCTTTCTCTCACTTTCTTCTCTAAATGGGCCCCATAAATTTTCGATCGGATTTAAGTCAGGACTTTGAGCCGGCCATGGTAAAGAACAAATATTTTTCTGTTCTTTAAAAGTCTCAACAATTGCTGCGCGGTGTATTCGGCAGTTGTCATCTTGAAATATTAACGTCCTATTTCTGAAACTTCTCATGAATGGTAACAAGTGTTGTTCGAGTAGCTCTACGTAAACTTTAGCCGTTACGGATCCTTCAAGCAACACTAATGGTCCAATCTTATCTCTTGTAAAGCATCCCCATACCATTACTCCCGGAGAATGCTTTACGGTGGGAGAGAGGCAGTCTTTGTTAAATTTTCATTGGGTTTGCGCCAGACTCTTTTAGAAGAATCATTTTTGAATAGCTCGAATCTTGACTCATCGCTCCAGATAATATCATTCCATTCACCAGTGTAGAATTTCACGTTTCTTGCAAATTTCAATCGTTTTTGTCTATTAGTTTCAGTTACCAAAGGTTTTTTCTTTGGTACACGTCCGTAATATCCTTCATCGTGAAGGGAACGTTGTACGGTAATTGACGAAACTTGCTCTTCTCTACATTGGTTAAATGAATCCGTAATCTCAGCTAATGCCGCCCTCCGCTCACTTGTTACCACTCGTTTTAACTGCCGAACATCATGCTCATTCAAGAGTCTTTTTCGACCTCTTCCCTTTAAATTAGTAACTGTTTTATGTTTGTTGTATTTTTGGACAATACGCCTTACGGTAGACTCGTCATGATTCCATTTTCTTGCAATTTCAGCAAAACGATGACCAAGTTCATAAGCACCAATTATACGACCTCGTTCGAATTCTGACAATTCTCTTGTCTTGGGCATATTTGTAAACAGCAAACAACGAACGCGAAGTTTGATAATAGGCAATCACATATGCGTGAAACGATCGATGGGCGAAACACATTACGCTGTAATTTCGTAACTAGGATATGAATAAAAATATTATGCATTTT